GTTTATTGGGTGAGGGGTCTGTGACTATTTGTTAATCTAATGAATAACTGATTTGTTAAATCTAATGAAAAATGGTGTGTCTGATTGGTCCAGATGCTACACTAGTGAAGTAATGAGTTTATAGACACTGAGTGAAAAGCGTTACGTCACATGTTGTTCCACAAGCTGTTTCTATCCATGTCTTTCCACGGTTGAAACATGATAACATTATGCACAATACATTTCAGTCAGTTGCATTATTCAACTTACCTTCTGATGTTCATTCATGTTTATTTTGTGCTAGTAGTAAAGCAGGGGAGATGATTGGTTCAGGTGTGCTCCGTGTTTCTGCTTGAACAGAAATGAGTCTATAGCGATCTGCAGATTTATATAAATTACAATTATTGTTTGAAATTTGTCACAAAATTGACAGAACTTTAAAGCGGAGACCTTGTTTATATTAAAATAACAAAGCACAAAGCTTATCGTTATTATTGGATGGGGAAGCGTACGACAAATAATGTTTAGTGAAGTTAAGTAATATTTACTATGTTTGTAACACTATTACCTTCATCTGGGCCTGAATCTTTGGATGGTGATCCCACAGGTGCTGTAACATTTTAGATGTGTTCGCATTAGCTGTCACTTTTCATCTGCATGATTTGCATATTGGATACCCGTCCTCAACCACACCTAAATCATTTTAAGATAGCTAAAATACTCCCAAATAGCTAAATTTGCATCTTCAGTGGATACAAGTCTGGAAGTTGCCTTCTTCCACCATGTCACATCATTTTGAGTTTCAAATGTGCCTTTATTAGAAGATCACCAGTGAACTCAGCTCATAACAGCATCACAGAGCATCTGGACTGACAGCGCATGCAGGAGAAAGTAGTTGATCCCATCTGAAAGACAAATTTTTAAGTTTTTCCTAGTTTTCAACCATAAGTTAACAAGAACTGTTCCCACCCATGTTTGTTTATTTATTGGAGCAGACCAATAGTTTGTATAAAAAAAACAATATTTCTCTCTTTTTCTCAGTATCATAAGCAGGAAGAGAAAGATAGCAGCTTCTCCACTGCAGCCCCCTGATCTCAGTGATGGATCAGAGCCTTTTGATTCTGTGTGAGTATATTCATGTAGAGTGAGACTTTCAACACAAGAGCAAATAATGTACACAGAAATAACGAGAGAAATGTAAATTTTTTAGTTTATTACAGCAATAAAGTTCAAATAAGATTATTTGATATTAGGGACATTTAAATATTGATAAGGTAAATATTGAAGTTTTGATAAAGCTCTTTTCTGTTTGTTTTTGTCTCTCCGTTCATCGTAATGTGTTTTCAGTAGTGGGAGAACTAACCAGATCAGATATGCATCCTGTCAGACCTTCACATCTTCTTACTATCAGAACCACATCAATCATTATGATACAGAAGCATCCCTGCAGCGTGATTCTCACTCACCGGGGCAGGATGATCTGCAGAGAGTCAAAGACCAGCACAAAATTAGCATGAAGAATAAGTTTGAGAGCTTATTTGAGGGAGTCAAACTACAAGAGAATCAAACCCTCCTGAACCAGATTTACACACAGCTGTACATCATAGAGGGAGAGAGTGAAGGAGTGAATGAAGAACATGAGGTGCTGCAGATGGAGAAAAGTTACAGGACACTCCAAGACACTCCAATCAACTGCAATGACATCTTTAATCCTTTACCTGAACCAGGATATGAGCAGAACAGAAGAGAGAAGAAAGACAAAATAAAGATGGTTCTCACTAAAGGCATCGCTGGAATTGGAAAAACCGTCTCTGTGCAGAAGTTCATTCTGGACTGGGCCGAGGGAAATGCCAATCAGGATGTTGATTTCATGTTTGTGTTTCCATTTCGAGAGCTGAACTTAATTAAAGATCATCAGTACAGTCTTCACAGACTTCTGCTTGACTTTCATCAAGTCAGAAAGTTTCTGATGTGACTGAGATTTCATCAGTGGGTCTGTTGATGTCAAACCTCATGAAAGGAGATCTGCTTTCCTCTGCTCTCATCTGGATCACCACCAGACCAGCAGCAGCCAATCAGATCCCCTCCTGGTGACTCAAATTTCTACAAATTAAGAGTATTCTCTTTTCTCTTCATGAATTATTCCACTTAAACCTCTTGTTTATTTTCCCAAATCCTCACTGTCTCACCCTGTATTTTCACAGGGGATTATAAATGTTTATTTTCATGAGTTCCCTAATTTTAGTTAAATTGTGGCCATGCTGTGTAATAATTCAATGTTAACCCATTTTGAGGGGGAGGGGAGGGTAGGAGAACTCATCTTCTCTTCCTGTCACAAGCTATGACTTGAGGGCAGAGCTGTCTGGAACTGCCAGAAGCTGCAGTGATGTCAGTTAGGGCTGTGCGATTTGGGAGAAAATATCAAATTGCGATTTTGTTGACAGATATTGCGATTGCGATTTGATTTGCGATTTTAAATTAGCAAAGTCAAGCTTCAGCTCAATATTGCAAATAATGTGCAGCACAGCATGGGTATCATTACCCTGCTGAAAAAAAAACAATAGAAACTATCAGAAATTCTTATAGAGTTTCCATTAAACCATTACAAAATTCCTTTTTGTTTTGGGCATTATTCCAATAGGAATTACTGTTGTTCTATTGGTTGCCATCTGCCAGATTACATCCCACCAATAGAATCCATATTCCCATTATAACCCTGAAATCCATTACATTTTTTATTGTGTTTTGGGAGGGGTTCTATTGTTTTTTTTTCTCAGCAGGCAAGATTATAATGGTATTACTACTTTTACAGAATTAACTTAATTACTGAATTTCACAGAAAATATCTGTTTATTTTTTATAAATAAAGAACGGTGTTTCTTAAGTCAGTTATTAATGTGTTATGTTACATATGTTACATAGGCTGATTTATTCATTTTAAGTATTTGGGATTTTAAGAACAAGTGGAAAATGTGCTGAATGTTTCGTGGAGAGAAATCTGCTACAACTGACTGCAAACTGGCATTCAGATCTGCCTCCTGTGCCGGGAGGAGCAAATGACAGACATAGTGGGTGTGGCATCAGGCCTCGGAAAGGCTTTTATTTAACAGAAATAAAATGTCCATGACGTTTCATCTATTTTGTTAGCAATGGCCAACTTGCAAATCTCCAAACAATTCCCAAATAACTAAATCAAGTCCTGCCCTCTCATATTAGATGCTGTTTCACTCGGATAGACATCACAGTAGAGAAGTCAAGTCAAGTCAAGTCACCTTTATCTATATAGCGCTTTTAACAATACAGATTGTGTCAAAGCAAAGTATCACAACGAAACGCATGCTATACCCTAAGCATAAACAACGGCAATTAACATTCATGCACACGCTTTCCCCCTCGAATGTAAACAATGCTTATTACGCCGATTACATTCATGCGTGCGCTTTCCTCCTCGAACGTAAACAATGCTGATTATGTTCTTGGGTACTCTCCAAAATGGCGGAAGACGTAACTCGGGGGAGAAGAATTGTTAAATAAATTGACTACTCTTCGGCCATGGCAATCTACATTTTTTTTTTATGAATATGACAATCTGATGGAGGACGTTCTCAGTCTGTCAGTCTCTCTCTCCCTATCTCGCTCTCTCTCTCAGTCAGTCAGTCTCTCTCTCTTGCTCTTTAGGCTTGTTTAGTGTCGTTGATTGTCTTTGTCGTCATCATCCTCAATAAATTAAAAAATCTTTATGTGAGGGTGTTGACAGGTGAGTGTCGTGGAGAGAAATCTGCTACAACTGACTGCAAACTGGCATTCAGATCTGCCTCCTGTGCCGGGAGGAGCAAATGACAGATATAGTGGGTGTGGCATCAGGCCTCGGAAAGGCTTTTATTTAACAGAAATAAAATGTCCATGACTTTTCGTCTATTTTGTTAGCAATGGCCAACTTGCAAATCTCCAAACAATTCCCAAGTAACTAAATCAAGTCCTGCCCTCTCATTTTAGATACTGTTTCACTCGGATAGACATCACAGTAGAGAAGTCAAGTCAAGTCAAGTCACCTTTATCTATATAGCGCTTTTAACAATACAGATTGTGTCAAAGCAACTGAACAGCATTAATTAGGAAAATAGTGTCAATAATGCAAAATGACAATAATTGAAATCGCATCATATGACCCCTTTAATTCTGCCATACAAAGTGTGCAACTAAATTGACACTAGTTAAAAGAAGGGCTGCACGATTAATCAAATGCGATTGTCATGTGTATCTTTCAGTTATAGGGTTAGTTCACCCCAAAATGAAAATTCTATCATTAATTACTCACCCTCATGTCGTTACATACCCGTAAGACCTTCGTTCATCTTCGGAACACAAATTAAGATATTTTTGATGGAATCTGAGAGCTCTCTGACCCTCCCATAGACAGCAACAGAGTATGTGAGCGGAGTGGAGCGGCAACAATTTCCCCTCCGGGCTCCGAGCATTTCATAATCACTCCGCTCCGGGTCCAGCATTTCTCGCTCCACTCCTCACTCAACACCAACACCACTCCGCCTTCGCGCCACGTCTAAAGTATCAGAATCAGAATCAGAATCAGAAGAGCTTTATTACCAAGTATGTTTACTCCGCTCCTCGCTCCATTTAAAATCACACCACTCCGCTCCCCTCACATACTCTGGACAGCAACGCAACTGTAATGTTCCCAGGTCCAGAAACGTAGTCAGGACATCGGTAAAACAGTCCATGTGACATCAGTGGCTCAACTTCAATTTTGCGAAGCTACAAGAATACTTTTTGTGCACTAAGAAAACAAAAATAACAATTTATTCAACAATTCTTCGCCACCGAGTTACATCTTCTGCCATTTTGGAGAGTACCCAAGAACGTATTCGACGTAATCAGCGTTGTTTACGTTCGGGGGAGAAAGTGCGTGCATGAACGCAATCGGCGTAATCAGCGTTGTTTATGCTTAGGGGAAAGCGTGCGAAAATAACGACTTTATTCAACAATTCTTCTCCAGTTACTGTCTTCCGCTATTTTGGAGAGTATCACAACGAAACGCATGCTATACCCTAAGCATAAACAACGGCGATTAACATTCATGCACAAGCTTTCCCCCTCGAATGTAAACAATGCTGATTACGCCGATTACATTCATGCGTGCGCTTTCCTCCTCGAACGTAAACAATGCTGATTATGTTCTTGGGTACTCTCTAAAATGGCGGAAGACGTAACTCGGGGGAGAAGAATTGTTAAATAATTTAATGTTATTTTTGTTTTCTTTGGACACATTGCACAGAATACAAAGTATTCTCGTTTTGAAAAACTGAAGTTGAGCCACTGATGTCACATGGACTGTGTTACCGATGTCCTTGCTGGACCTGGGAACATTACAGTTGCATTGTTGGCGATGGGAGGGTCAGAGAGCTCTCAGATTCCATCACAAATATCTTAATTTGTGTTCTGAAGATGAACGAAGGTCTTTTGGGTTTGGAATGACATGAGGGTGAGTAATTAATGACAGAATTTTCATTTTGGGGTGAACTAACCCTTTTAGCACGGTTCTGTGATCAGTAGTAAATCTCCATCCGCTGCTCTCATGCTGAAACTTCAAATATGCCCCACAGAAGAAAGGTAATGCGCGTCGTTCCAGGGTTGTAGCTAGAAGGGATACCGCTGTGGTCAGAAACTAACAATGAAGCCGTAGTTCACTGACAAGCTACGCAAAACCGCTTTCATAATCACAGACCAATTTAATTGAGTGATTATGAAATCGATGAAATTGTTCTGTTATTATAAAAGTTCAGTTTTCATAGCTTGTCAATGAACTACGGCTCTGTCTAGTAAATGCTGCTCCATCTTAACCTGCTTCTGTATACCATCAAGCCTTTACCCGGCGAGTTTGAGTCGTTTATAACGTGCATTTAAAAAAGCAACATGCGTCAAACATCTTTCCAAACATGACAAAATAAATATCAAAATAAAAATAAAATAGCACACAAAATGCCACATTAATAACATGTTTTATTCCAATCTCACTTAGCATTGCATTATAAATATACTTTATTATTATGAAAATTATAATAAGAACTCAGATAAACCATATATTGTCGTAGTCCTGTGTTTATTAGTTACGTTGAATCAATGACAGCAGTTCAATCTTCTGTTTTCTGCCGTGGTTAGTTTGTTTGGTACGTTCTACAAGTCAACTCTCGTCAGGCTCACATTGGCGGTAGTTTGCCCGATTCAACATGTTGAATCGGCGTCGGGGCCATCGGGACCATCAGCGCGAGTGAGAACTCTGATTGGATGTTCAGTTTAGCATTCGAGTCAGTGCCCGAGAATTAAAGCAAGAGTGATGAAAACGAGTAAGTAAACGAAGGCGGCACAGACAGAAGGCTGTTTTTAAATTTACGTGATCTTACCCAAGCATTCCAAAATGCGAATGTTTTCATAACAACATGAGCCGCTTAAAATGATGAAAGTTATCAATGCTACTGATATTCAAAATGGTAAGCAAGGGCTGCTTTGTTTACGTTTTGTATATCTGCGTTTATCTCTTGTATATGTAAATATTCGGTTTCTTCTTTTAAATGACGAATATATAGTATTGATAGCTGCTGATATAAACAGGTAATTCCTTTCACGCAGACGCAGAACGCACGTGTTAGTTTGCAGCCGGCTGTTGTCTGTGCGGTGTGTTCAAGTGCAGCTTTTTGGTCCAGATGCTGCCGACACAAGGCATCAATACCGCCGGCTTTTGTCGCCGCTAGTTCTTTGAAGTTGCATTGGTTATTGTATATTAAGAGCCGGATTTACTAACAGCTTGTGCCAACGCAAACCCTCTTTTGGTGTTTAATATTGTTGTTGTTGTGTTATCATATTGAATGGTGGGGGAAAAACATGTTTTTCTTTTTTTTTACTTAACTGATCACATGCCTGCATATTGGTATGAACATTAAAAAATTAAAACTATCTACAAAAAAACAAACAAAAAAAAAAAGATTTATAGCCCACCAACAAGTAACGTTTAAATTAGAGATGCTCCGAGTGCAATTTTCTTGGCCGATTTCAATTTCCAATTTTTTTGCAAGTGTGACTTGCTGATACTGATTTTTGCAGATTCCAGTTTTCTTTCTAAAGGCCAGGACACACTGCACGATTTTTGGCGAAAGATTGGCATTGTGAAAAAATGGTGGCGATTTCTATGATTGTGGCTCCTAATCGGTGGTGCTATGTCGTACAGTGAGAGAGGTTCAAAGACAGCCATTGTCATGGTCTTGCAACCAAAGATAGCCTGCGATAATGTTCTGACAGTGTCAGAAATTCAGCATGATCATCGCACAGTGCTGCTTTGATCTATGTCTACTGACCAGCCAATAAAAATTCAACATGAAATGCTGTGTTGATCTACGCGACATGGCACATGTCAAATTTAACCTACAGGTCACCACTTGAAAAGATCTGTTTGTTATTATATGACATATCTCTTCATTACATTAATAACACACACAGTTTCGCCCAATCTCATGTTAATCTTGAGAACCTATAGAGTAGTATTGCATCCTTCATATCTCCAAAAAGTCTTTAGTTTTATCATATTTATAAAAGAAAGATACAGCTTTATGATTCTCTTGTATATCTGCGTTTATCTCTTGTATATGTAAATATTCGGTTTCTTCTTTTAAATGACGAATATATAGTATTGATAGCTGCTGATATAAACAGGTAATTCCTTTCACGCAGACGCAGAACGCACGTGTTAGTTTGCAGCCGGCTGTTGTCTGTGCGGTGTGTTCAAGTGCAGCTTTTTGGTCCAGATGCTGCCGACACAAGGCATCAATACCGCCGGCTTTTGTCGCCGCTAGTTCTTTGAAGTTGCATTGGTGTGTCCCGGCCTTAAGACTCCTGTACCCTGCCAGTATTTGACAATATATATGTATAAAGATCTGTTTGTTATTATATGACATATCTCTTCATTACATTAATAACACACACAGTTTCGCCCAATCTCATGTTAATCTTGAGAACCTATAGAGTAGTATTGCATCCTTCATATCTCCAAAAAGTCTTTAGTTTTATCAGATTTATAAAAGAAAGATATTGCTTTACGATTCTCTCCGAAAACAGCCGAGCTCCTGGAGGCGTGCCGTGGGTGGAGCTAAAGAGTCATGAGCAATTGAGCGCTGATTTCCAGCAAAACAGACATTTGATGCAGCTTCACTTACCATCTGCAGTTCCATCTTTTATCGCTGGGAACGCTCTATCTTTCAGTATCAAACGATGTGCAAATCCAGCGTCGAACTGGGCCTTGTTTATACGGCATTCGTCACAGAAATGACAGGAACAAACAAACACACTTGCGAAACTCTGTCAATGCCCCAAAAAAACAAATAGCATCCACTGTTCACGTAACGCTGGGTTCTTTGGGAAGCTGAACAAGGTTATCTTTCCCTCACAACCAAAAACACACTGAAAAAATCCTGTGCAGCGCTGCTGAATGGAGCACGATGATGGGCATGCTCTTGCTCTCGCTCTGGTCGTTGTGTGTGCGGGCGTGTTCTTCTGGGAGAAGTGCACATACAAGGAATTCCACCATTCATGACGTCATGATACAATTTTTTTTTCATTTTCCAAAACTTGTACAAACCCTGAAGAAGTATATTTGGCACAGAAATACTCCATCATAAGTCCAAATCGTTTTTTGAAACTTTGGCCATGTTTAGAATGAGAATCCAACTCTTTAACAGTGTAAATAACTTTGAATGCATGAAATAGCATTAGACCCCCCCACCCTAACACTTGAATTACTTTTGTAGATTATCTGGCTGTTTTGTAACAGAGGAAGCTTGTGCTGCTTTAGTATCAGCTCTGAGTTTAAACCCCACACACCTGAGAGAGCTGGATCTGAGCTACAATCACCCAGGAGAATCAGGAGTGAAGCTGCTCTCTGATCAAATCAACCATCTGGACAAACTCAAGTAAGTTAAGCAGAATGTAGAAAATAACCCTGTCTGATGTTCATATTTATGCCTTTATTTTAAGGGTTAGTTCACCCAAAAATGAAAACTAGCCCATGAATTACTCACCCTCAAGCCATCCTAGGTGTATATGACTTTCTTCTTTCATGGCAGTCAGTGGGTGTTGCAGTTCATCAGTCCAAAAGAAGTTAAATAAAGCACATCCATCCATAATAAAAAGTGCCTCACATGGCTCCGGTGGGTGAACAAAGGCTTCCTGTTGCGAATCGATGCGTTTTTGTAATAAAAATATCCATATTTAAAACGTAATAATCAATTTAATCTAGCTTGCGCTCACTGTTGTACATGTGTATCAGTTGTCGCCATTGGACTTCTTCAGTGTCTAACATGATCACAGATAAGACTACTTTCTTTGACTTTTAAACATTTAGTGCTTTCACACTCAAGGACTTGATTCATAGTTTGATCAAGATGGGTCAATTTTTTATCTCAGATGAACAAGTGGTGTTTGATATATATTATCACTGTTGTGTTTGGTGCAAAATGTGTATTGTTTTTGCTAGTATCATTTAAATTGAAAGGAATACAAGTTAAAGAAAGAGTTTTGTGGCTGCCTTATTTTATTTGTTAGAATTAATCAACGCTTATGTTGGAAACCCACCCAAAAAATCAGATATATAACTAACATTGGTTTAAATATTAATCTGAGTGGTTATACATGGACGCAGCTCCGGGCGGATGACGCAGGACGTCGGCGTTGCGCATGCGCCGCTCAGAAGTGACGAACGCGGAAGTGCAGGGGAGAGATCAAAACAAAACAACGGTCACGAATTAGAAGTACAAAACGAGGATTTGTAAAGTAGAATGTCAGAGGATTTTGATATAAGCCAAGAGCAGACTGGTTTTCCTTTACTATAGTAAGGAAACTTTGCTTCCTTTGCTCCTGTAAACAAACATAGGTTTTCACGAGACTCACCGGCGCATGTGCAACGCCGCCATCTTACGTCATCCTACCGGAGCTGCTTCCATGTACAACTGTTGGCGCAAGCTAGATTAAAGTGATTATTACGTTTTTAATATGGATATTTTTCTTACAAAAACGCATCGATTTACTACAAGACGCCTTTGTTCACCCCCCGGAGCTGTGTGAGGCACTTTTTATTATGGATGGATGCGCTTTATTTAACTTCTTTAGGACTGATGAACTGCAACACCCGCTGACTGCCATTAAACAGCTTGGAAGATCAAAGTAAATTTTTAATATAACTCAGATTGGATTCATCTGAAAGAAGGAAGTCATATATGCCTAGGATGGCTTGAGGGTGAGTAAATAATGGGCTAATTTTCATTTTTGGGTGAACTATCCCTTTAAATGCTTTACCTTTGTTCTATAAAGACCAGAGAGTGAATGATCAACCAGCTTGATCTTTTATGGTCTGACTGCTCTTATGGCAGTCTGATGTGACACCAGAACAACAGCAAGCTTTTTAAACAAATGTTTTTCAGATTGGTAGGCTGTAATCTCACTAATCAGCACTGTGAAGTTGTGGCTTCAGCTCTACAATCATCAAACTCCCCGCTGAGAGAGCTGGACCTGAGTCACAATGACCTTCAGGATTCAGGAGTGAAGCTGCTGTGTGCTGGACTGAAGAGTCCTAACTGTCAACTCAACATACTGGGGTATTTAATGGTGTATTTAACTCGCAGTGCAGAGAATACTTGGAAACATACAGTACCTGCAGGATTTTTTAATGTACAGTGTTAAGCACAGCGGGCTTGCATTTCCACTGTCAGACCAGTTCTACTCTAAAACCCCCCTTAACACGCCTCTCTGAAGCAAATATCACACAACCCCAGCATTTCAAATATAATATAGACAATTATGATGTACAGTTATGATATGTCCATATTTGAAATGTAAACAAGTATGGTGTTAAATAGGTATTGTATATAGTGTTGTGTGTTCCAAGATTATTGTTATGTGTTCATGAGATGGATTGCCTGAGGAAAGAAACTGTTCCTGTGTCTGGTCGTTCTGGTGCTCGGTGCTCTGTAGCATTGAACAGATGGCAACAGTTCAAAGAGGGCGTGTGCTGGATGTAAGGGGTCCAGAGTGATTTTACTAGCCCTTTTGCTCACTCTGGATGAGTACAGTTCTTGGAGAGAAGGGAGGGTTGTACCAGTGATTCACTCAGCAGACCGGACTACCCTCTGTAGTCTTCTGAGGTCAGATTTGGTAGCTGAGCTGAACCAGACAGTTATCGAAGTGCAGAGGATGGATTCAATGATGGCGGAGTAGAACTGTTTCAGCAGCTCCTGTGACAGGTTGAACTTCCTCAGCTGGCGAAGGAAGTACAACCTCTGCTGGGCCTTTTTAACAATGGACTCAATGTGATTGTCCCACTTCAGGTCCTGAGAGATGGTGGTGCCCAGGAACCTGAATGATTCCACTGCAGTCACAGTGCTGTTCATGATGGTGAGTGGGGAGAGAGCAGGGGGCTGTTAAAAGCCGAGCTGAAGTCCACAAACAGGATCCTCACATAAGTCCCTGGTCTGTCTAGATGTTGCAGGATGTAATGCAGTCCCATGTTGACAGTATCATCCACAGACCTGTTTGCTCTGTGGCAGGCAAACTGCAGGGGGTCCAGTGATGTCCTTCAGATAAGCCAAAACCAGTCTTTCAAATGATTTCATGGCCACAGACGTTAGAGCCACAGGTCTGTAGTCATTAAGTCCAGTAATTTTGGGTTTCTTTGGGACGGGGATGATGGTGGAGCGTTTGAAGCATGAGGGGACTTCGCACAGCTCAAGTGATCGGTTGAAGATCTGTGTGAAGATGGGAGCCAGCTGGTCAGCACAGGATTTACCGTCTGGGCCTGGTGCCTTTCTTCTCTTGTTCTTTCTGAAGAGCTGACACACGTTATCTTCACTGATTTGGAGTGCTGGAGGGGGAGAGAGGGGGGTTGCAGGAGGTGTGAATGGTGTTTTTTCAAACCTGCAATAAAACTCGTTCAGATCATCTGCCAGTTGTTGATTCTCCACAGTGCTGGGGGATGGTGTCTTGTAATTGGTGATGTCTTTCAGAAAACAGAAACTGATATAAGATGTTACAGTTAGAGGTCGACCGATGTATCGGTTTTGTTAGTTGATTGCTGGAACTATCGGTTATCGGCAAAAATCCATGCCGATAGTTTTCTGGGTTGCGTCCATTGCTGGAGCGGCTGAGAAGGGTCTGCTGTCATTACACAGTGCGAGGGTGGCTTCAAAAACACTCCAATCAGTGAGGTCAAAACAAGCTTGTAGATCCTGCTCTGCTTCATTAGTCCATCTTTTTACAGTCCTTAATACAGGTTTAGCTGATTTCAGTTTCTGCCTGTAGCCTTAATCTGTATAAGATTAACTAAACTGTGATCAGAGAGCCCCAAAGCTGCCCGTGGGACAGAGTGATATGAATCCTTTTTTGTGGTGTAACAGTGATCCAATATATTACTGTCTCTGGTGGGACATATAACATGCTGTCTGTATTTTGGCAGTTCACGGGAAAGATTTGCTTTATTAAAGTCCCCAAGAATGATTAAAAAAGAGTCCGGGTGTTGTTGTTCTGCGGAGGAATGTAAACACTCACGAGAAGGAACGAGCAAAACTCCCGCGGCGAATAGAACGGCTTAAAGTTAATGAAGAGCGCTTCCAGATCGGGACAGCACATCTTCTTTAACACTGTTACATCTGTACACCACCTTTCGTTGATGTAAAACCATGTCCCGCCGCCGCGCGATTTCCCCGTTGATTCTGTGTCGCAATCTGCTCTAAACAGCTGAAAGCCGGGCAGATGGGGCGCGCTGTCCGGAATGGCGTCATTCAGCCAGGTTTCCGTGAAACACAGAGCAGCAGAGTTTGAAAAATCCTTGTTAGTCCTGGAGAGCAGAAGAAGTTTGTCCGTTTTGTTGGGTAGAGAGCGGAGATTCGCCAGATGGACGCTAGGCAACGGCATTCGAAATCCGTGCTTCCTGAGCTTGACGAGCACGCCGGCTCTCTTCCCCCGTCTGCGCGTCCTGAAGCGCTTGATCAGCACAGCTGCTCCGCCAACTACAACGTTCAGTAAAACGTCCGAATAATTGAAATCCGGTAGAAGATTTTGTGATGTGTTCTGCCGAATGTTCAGCAGTTCATCCCTGGTAAAACTGATCGTGTTTGAGAAACAAAAAACAGGAAAAATGAACAAAAACAGTACAAACACTAGAGAGCCAAGCACTGAGGCAGCCATGTGCGGCACCATCGCAATCTCTAAGGCCATGGAGGCCCCTGTGACCAATGAATAGATTACTATTATACGGAATTAACAGAAACAGACATGTGGTCCTTACATAAAGATTTATGAAAGACTTCAGCAATTGATATTTTATATACCAATGATTTACGCTAAAAATAGTAATCTATTCATTTGTGTCAGCATGCTAAATCAAACTGATATTTATCATTATTTCACATAAAAGGAGAACACACATACTTGTTCATTGTAGCGGCTCAAAGGGGGGGCCCTTGAGAGCCCTCAAGACCTTAAGCAGATCCCATGTAGGGACAGTAAAGGGGTGAGGTGGATTCAGCTACCTAGACCCCTTTAGAAAGCGAACAACCAAGTTGTTCCTGCCCACCGATTGGCCGGCTATAGGAGCGTGAGAAGCTGCTATAGCTGCTACATATAGCTGTATATAGAGTGTGGAGGAAGAACGACCCTCATCCAACAAAATTCGGAAAAGTTTTACCCACCAGCTGGTAACGACTGAGACTGTTACATATACTTGCATCTGGCGCTTGGCGAGTGTTAATTTTAGGCCCTGCCTGCTTATATAGCCAGATGACCCCACCCATTCTGGTAGGCTCTGGTGGGCTTCATGGCCATAGGTTCGTGCAGCTAAGCTGCTGAGCCAATGGTTTGTTTTTTATTCACTGCACGAACCAATGGCCGTGCGATTACACTGCATTATTGAAAAGAAAAAGCATCTAGCAAAGCAGTACGAGTGAATTATCGACAAGGGAACTCCTTTATTCTCAGGCTACACCATAGGCTAAAGAGAATAAATGAGTCTTCAGTCTAGATTGGGAGAGGTGGGAGAGGATCTCACAACAACTGGAAGTGCATTCCACCATTTAGGAGCTGCAACTGCAAAGGCTCGGTCTAGCAATTGGTTACATGAACAGATTTTATACACTCGCTGGTGTCTGAAAGTGAGTTTTGCAATTAAAATTGTCAATTAAATGTCTTAAATGTTGATGCTAGCTGGTAGCTTGATATGAAAACATGGGAAATTAGCGGTGGTGCCAACCATCTCCTAACTAGGATAAACTCCACTTTTGTTCATGACCACTCCTCTAGCCCCAGTTGGCCCCTTTGGTCCAATGTATTTGACAGGCCAAAAATCCCTGGCCATTGGCATTGAAGAAGCCCTGTAGAGGCACAATCAAGCCCCGGAAGTGACAGTGGAAACGCAACTGGCCCTGGCACGCACTAGTATGCCCGCTTTTTGGCCTGACTGCGGAAACGTGGCTATTGGTCCTACCACACAGAAAAAAAAATCATTGTTTTTTACATTTGTAACCTTGTAAACAGTGCTTTAAGTTTGTCTAACTTAAATGTCTAACTGTAAAATTCAGGAAATATGGAAATATGCCAAAAAATAATAATATAGTAAACAAATAACACTGCACAATCCTCACTGTATAAATAAAATATAGATGAATCCTTAGCATAAGCTCCGAAAGTTATTCAGTCAAGAGCAGTGAGTGATTTTCTAATTTTCTTTTGTTGTTTGATTAAAATAAATGACACAAGCAGCTGGGTTATTAGGCTGCTGTCACTTTAAAACTTGACGCAGATGTGATATCCAATTGGACATATCAAATTTAAGACAAACACTGCATGCTTTCCATGTCTCCTTAATCAAACATATCTGATTCAGATCATCAGCTCATTAGTAGAGTCCAAGGCCTGAGAAGAAACCAGGAACATGGTTGGGACCACTGCATTAACCCTTGCACTGTTGTTGTAGATTATCTTACTGTATGGTGACAGAAAAAGGTTGTGCTGCTCTGGCATCAGCTCTGAGTTCAAACCCCTCACACCTGAGAGAGCTGGATCTGAGCTACAATCACCCAGGAGATTCAGGAGTGAAGCTGCTCTCTGATACACTCAAACATCTGGACAAACTCAAGTAAGTTGAGCATTAACATTCATCCTCTCTTCTGTGATTGAGAAGTGGTTGTGATGAGAGAATCTGTCATTGTTTTTATGGTTGGCATGAGATGCTGGTTTGTTCTCACAAAAAAATAATGAAGCCCAACTTCCTTTAAACTTTTGAGTGCTACAGTCCCAAATATGGGATTTTTATTTCTGTGCCCCTGGGAGTACGGTCCCACATATGTGATTTAGAATGTTGATGTGATATCACAGAACTTCCAGACTCAAACTGTGGTTTTGCGCTTTGGCTGGCACTGAGCCAGAGACGGACGCGCTCCGAGCTTGTCATATAATCACAACTATGCAGTGTTTTCAACCAAATAATGTTTATTTTAGGTTTCAGACATTTAAAGAAACGTAAGTACTAGTAAAACAATCAATTTAAATTTTGTAAAATACACGATGTCTATGGAAGCAGCAATAACAATTAATTCAAATATAATTTTCTTATAATTTATTCATATCAGATTGACTCTATTCTTCTCCCATGCAGTTCACCGGCCACTTACATGTATTTTAGAAACTGGTGAATTCACACCCTGTAAATCCAACGGACAGGACTCCCTTAACTGCGGCGAAAACAAATGTGGCGACGCCCATCACACGCTGTAGATCAAGATCACTTGTGACCCTTTGCTGGCAAAATAAGTCGGAATGAGGACATTTAAAAAAAAAGTTATTTTTATTTTCACATTCTCCATTAAAATACCTTAAAAATTATATATGACTTGATATATGGAATTGGACAAAAAATTACTGAGCTACAGCCGTTTGAACGGGGACTGCAGATGAAAATTAGCCTGAGTGACTAAATCTGGCACATTTGCATAGTAGACTTGTTTACTCATGTCAATTAATGTGTATTGTTCCTTTTAAATAAAATAAAAACAAAAACAAAGGCGATAGAGTCAGCAGATCTGATTTAGAGAAAAATCGATTTAAAGTTTTTTGCTTGTGCCTTTATCGAGGGACTACAATAAGTGTAGTATTCATAGCAGCTAGCAAATGAGAGGTGAAGCCTCTGGTTTTCCACTAGAGGGATAACAAATCCTTTTAGGTCTCAAACTTTAACATCTGTGTAATGGTTCCATAGATTGACTTGGCGGGAAAAAAATAAATAAATTATAGTTTCCTTAAGTTTAATATAATAAGTTTGCAAAGAAATCTATGCTATCCACAATACTTATTAATTAGATCATTGATAATTTTTATATATCCTAATGATGCTGAAAACACATTTGTCAAGTTGCCAGACATGACTGTATGTATTGTGGTTCAATTAAAATTTATATTTAATATTAGTTGTCTATTTTAATACAGTACATAGAATAATACTTCGATAAAGAGACACTTAACGACTTGTTATATTTGAAAAGAGACATGGTCATTATATCACTGTATAGTCTACATGAGCAATTAGTGCTTTGACCCTGATAATCGCCACTCGAGGCTATATTTTTATTCTACTTCTGAACCTGTTTCACCGGGAGACTTTTTACAACTATGAACAATTTGTATTACTGAACAAATAAAATAATGGAAACAGATAACCATAACAATAATACAATATCAATACAATATCAAAAATAACAATAAAACGTTATATACAAAAACTTCACACACTCACACCCCAAACTGTCTTAAGTGGGGCACACACTACAAGATAATTGTAATAGTAATATGGTAGTCAGTAGAGTGAACAGTTGATTATATAACACTTGATTGATTGCCATGATTATAGTGTGCAGGTCACAGGAGTGAAGTACAAATCAAAATATACAAAAACTGAATACAAAATCATCAACAATGTAACATTGACTAACATAAGAAGCAAACTTTAAATGGTCAAATTATGTTGGAAAGTTTATTTCCTTGCTTATTATTGCCACTTCCATAGACATCAGTGTGTATTTGTACAATATATAAATGGTCTTGGCTAGTACTTGTGCCGTTGTGTGTGTTTACATATCTGAAGCATAAAATAAGCATTAATTGTTTAAAAACACTGAACAGTTGTGGTATTTGACAAGCACTGAGTGACTCCATCTCAGTGGTGGACAGTATTTTTAATTTGTTAGTGTACTTGAGTACAGTTTTCAAGTATTTGTACTGGATTTCTTGATCATTTTTATTTTGGGAAACTTTTACTTTTACTTCACTACATTCCAAATCATAATATCATACTTTTACTCCACTACATTTCATAAAAACATTTTGTTCCTCGTTATTTTGAACTGGAGAAATCGTCACACACTACACAAAAGGGCCTTTCGTACCGCGGGAACCTTTTCATAGTACCAGAACTAATTGTGGAACTACCCACTTTTGGGCATTTTCGCATAGTGGTGTCTGATTCGTGAACAAGCTGATTATTTTCAATGAACCTGTTAAATCTGTTCAGAAATCACACTGAACGATTCATTCACGAATTGGACTGAGCAGATTGCACCCGTTCTCAAGTCAACAACTCGCTGATTCAAATGATCCAGTCAGAGCGAGTCTCCAATTAACAATTCAATGAATTCACAAAACTAAAAATGAGCCGAGAACAGAGAATGTGCTGGCAGAAAATTACCAGGACATTTTCCTACAACTCTAAAACAGAAAATGATGTAGCTTACATCATCTTCTGTACCATTAACGGACAATTCGTTATGCAGAAATTTCTACAAAATTATAGCATATCTTTAGTAGCAGATAAGTTCTGGACAGTATATACAAATTGAACATGATTTAATTTTACCTCATTTAAACATTCTTAAGTGTATTCAATGGCTTTTGTTTGCCTTAAACAAGTTAAGACAAAAAGATTGGCATCAATTAATTTGACAATGTGTAAAGCACCATTAAAAATGTTTGCATTGTGGAATACTTTTTAGCTTTAAACAGCAACAGACAAAATTGAAAAAAAAGAAACCTTGAACAGGTACTTGTACAATATTGGTGTTGCACCAGATATTGGTCACAAAGTTAAACTTCACAAATTGTAAAAGTCAAAATTCGAGACATTTTCAAATACATGAAAAAAAAAAAAGAATACAAAGACAGGGCTGTCAGTAATAACAACTGCTATAGACTTATAGTCAATAGTCGAGTGAAATGTTCCAGTGTTTGATGCCATTTTCCTATAAAAGAACACAATATTATTTAAAGGGACAGTTCACCAAAAATGTGAATTCTGTCATCAGTTACTCACCCTCATACTGTTCCAAACCCATAAGACTTTCATTAATGTTTGGATCACAAATGAAGAATAGTTTTACTGAAATCCCGGTGCTTTCTGTCCCTCCGTTGACAGCCTACGCAACTATCACTTTCAGGGTCCAGAAAGGTATAAAGACATCATTAAAGTATGTGATACCAGTGTCTTAATATCAATTTTATGAAGTGACACAAATTTTAAGTTCATTAAAGTAACGACCAAGCGGCCAGCGGCAGACAGTGAGCCTACTGTATGTTTGATCAATTTAGCCTTTTTAAAATAATCACGACTTGCCTAAAATAAAATCTATAGTTATAAAACAGTTCAATTATATAACAATGTTTAAATGTTAAACCTAGATAAATGTGCGCTATATCCAATAGTTTGTGCGGAGACACTTTGCAGGACATGGAGGCGCCAGCGCGATCACTTGCATTTTTTTCAGTGGATTTTTTTTTGCTCATAAAAGCAAAAAAACTTTTTTTGGCGTCATTTTTGCTCATAAAGGTAAGAGTAATCAATCATAACTGCAAAGGGTCTACTTTTATTTGTGTGCACTCACAATATCAACAAAACGTTGTGCTTTTATAAAATAAAGAAAACAAACATGATGCGCTTTTTGCCGTCTCGTCTTTTACAGGAGTTCAAAAATGAACCGAAACTCAGCGAATACATGCCTCACAGACATAAGTATATCTATAGAAAGCTTTCAATTACTACTTAACGAAATAAAACAAATCGAAAACAAAAACTCTTTCATTATAATCATAATCCGAGATTATTTCCCCCTGTCACATTTATGGTAATTACTTTTGGCGGTGCTTTGCGGCACTCTTTAGCCTATTGTGTGTAACTGTGCATTTGAACGCAGAACTGTTCAGTTGTGCTGACAGCACGCACCATACATGCTGCTGCTGGCGGGACAATAAACACTGTCGAGCCGCTCTTTTCAGTCGTGGTAGCACGGTCTCGTGTTGTTTCCACCAGCGCGACAATTTTTTTTTTCATCACTAATTGATGGATGTCTAAAATATAAAAATAAGGAGAAGCCTAAAACAGGCCCGAGGCCCAGCCCGCGTCTGAACTATGATGTGAAAATTGGCCCGAAGCCAGGCACTAGGGGCGTAAAAATGTCAGGACCCGTCGGACCCGTGCTGAAATGCAGGGCTCTATCGTGAGCCCAATGCCGTTTCAGTTCTGCTTGACGTTTGTGTGCTGTTTATAATAAATGCCACTAGCCACTAGTGACTTCAAAATGTTGACTCTTTGCTTCTGTGATTCTGCTTGGTAACATCAGGTGTCTTCACTAATGGTCAATCATCATTCATTTAATCACTAATTATCTCATTAACACTGCTTCAGTGTTAATTTTTACACTCATGAGTGTGGACTCAAATAAACTTATTTCCATACAGAATGAAAAAAATTCTTGCATTACATATAAATTAATAATCTGAGTTAAAAGACTTTCTTTATAAATAATAATAATAATAATAGAATCTAATCCATATTTATCTTTGAGCTTTATCGTATCCACAAAATAATTAAAGGCACTTGCTATGGTGCCATGATCACAGATAATGTTTTCGTTCCAAATCTAGTTCTGTTTTTGTCACTGGCTTTTTATAACTTCCTGTTAAATTTTCCCATATTAATTTTGTATTTCCTTTTCCCTCATCTCTTATATGAAATTTCACTTTTGCTTTTCTAATTTCACTTATTACGTTATTTGTAAGCGGGTGCGCTAGTGTGTGGCAGGGCCAGTCACATTTCCACTCTCACTTCTGGGGCTAGATTGTGCCTCGTCGGGGCTTCTTTGGGGCCAACACGTGGTGTTTCTGCTCATCTCTTTTTTTCTTAAGCAGGTGTTCGTCACTAATGCTCAATCAGTACTCAATTAATCTCTCAATTATCTAATGAACTGCAATGCTGCTTCAGTCTTATTTTTAGCACTCTGTAGTATGCATACTGAGCAGAGTTCATTTCATTAACTCATGTGAGGCCCTCTTAGAAGCTGAGGACAAAACTGGCTGGGCGCCCAGTTAGATAGCCCAGGCGCCACCCATCTGGGCCCCACACAAGTTTGCTGGCTGGGCATACAAAGCAGAAATATTTATATGTGATGCAAATACACGCTAGCCATTACCATAGTAAACATGGTAAATACCACCACTTGAAGAAATCAGACAAATCATATAGGCTATCACAATCGTGTATTTATTAGGTTGCATAGTTTATCTGTCAGTAAGTCTCGTCTCTTTATACCTGACAGTCTGATTATCACATTTAGCTCTGCGTATGTCATAAAATATACCATAACATATCAGTTTTTGTTCAGGAGCTCCCTCTGTTTCTCTGACTGAAAGTATTACAGTGTGTAGGGACTGGAGAGAGTGCAACAGTGACTCAGGTCGTATTTTTGATGGAAAAGTTAATGAAATGGTCATTCTTTCTAAATGTGATGTAGACCTAAACATGCTGTCTGTGATTACAAATAAACAGAAACAGGCGCGACTAAAGAAGTATATACCGTTTTATTTCTGAGTGACTAATTTGCAATCCTGACACAAATTAATTCATTATGATCAATGTGTCACTTATTATTGTATAACTGGTAAAACATCGATCCTTTGGTTTTAAATCTTTCAGCATGTGTAAAAATATACTGAACATATATTTACTCATGCAGTATATACAGACATATATGGAAATATATATTTCTTTAACAATTATTTGCAATATATGCGTTTCATATTTTAAAACATGGCTAGTTTACAATAGCATAAGCACATCTGCTCACACTAAAGCACTTAGTGAACAGACTATCACTGTGCTGAAAAGTGCACAGCCTTTCTCTTTTAATGAAGTAACATGTAATCTTAATGTTGTTTGGCCAGTCATCATCCTGACCACAGGCTCTACTCTTCAGCACAACTGTAACCTCACAAACTTACACATACCAGAAACCCTTTTACATTTCAAAATAATACAACATTAACTGATCTCCCCCTATATTAATATTAAGCAGTGAACACATGACATAGCACGTAATTAAAAAGTGTTACTCTCCTTCACCAGTCAGAAGCAAAGCATATTGGGAACTAGAAATCTGCTTTAAGTAATGCTGTGAATGTGTGTATATATGTGTGTACATACATTCACATTTATATGAGAACATCTGCATATAGGACAATAAAGTAAACTCAAGGATGCGACGTGTCTGGTGTTCCGCATCGCGCTTCATCTCGTCCATTTCCAGCCGCTCGCGCAACACGTTCATTTTCTTACGGAGTGAAAAACATGGCAGAGCAGAGAGGACACAGACAAGACAACCAGCTGACAGACATGACAGAGCAGGTCACTTTTGATAATAGGACACAAAGTCTCAGCATTCAAATTCTGTTAGCTTTATTAAGACAAATACAGTTTTGGAGCTCTTTATTGGCGTGACGGTTCACATGTGTGCTCCTGCTATGCCTCAGTTCAAGTGAGGCAGGAGTGCATTCTATAATTAGCATGAAATAAACATCGAATGCACATCAGATTCATGTTGAAAGATACACTACAACTTAATGTATAGTGTCTCATGTAATCACTCAATGAGTGTTTCAACCGCGGAAAGACAGCAGCTTGAAAACACGGTCACATAACCTCAGAAAAGCCCTTCAGTGTCCATAAACTAGCGAGAAAAATGTACACTAGAGAGGAGAATTTAGCAAACATTACATTTAGGCTGTATATTTACTCATAATTGCTCTTTTTATTATAATCAATAAAAAAATGTATAGATATAACGTTATTATAAAAATGGTCTAATATGAACTTGTATACAAATCAATTGTTACTTTTAACCTTAACAATAGAGTTCCTGTATAGTTTAGTTTAGAACAATTGAGTACACTACCAGTCAAATGTTTTTTTCTGCTCACCAAGCCTGCATTTATTTGATCCAAAATACAGCAAAAGCAGTAATACTGTGAAATATTTTTACTATTTAAAATAGCTGCTTTTTATTTGAATATTAAAATGTAATTTATTTATGCGATATTAAAGCTGAATTTTCAGCGTCATTACTCCAGTCTGCTTCAGAAATCATGCTAATATGCTGATTTGCTGCTCAAGAAACATTTTCTTTATTATTATTATTATTATTATCAATATTTAAAACAGTTGAGTACCATTTTGTCAGGATTATTTTAATGAATAAAACGATCCAAAGATCAGCATTTATCTGAAATAAAAAGGTTTTGTAAGATTATACACTATTACATTCAAAAGCTTGGAGTCAGATTAATTTATAATTTTTTTATTATTATTTTTTTTGTGAAAGAAATTATAGAAATGAATACTTTTATTTAGCAAGGATGCTTTAAATTGATCAAGAGTGATGATTAAGACATTTATAATGTTACAAAAGATTTCTATTTCAGATAAATGTTGTTCTTCTGAACTTAAAGAAACCCGAAAAAATCTACTCAGCTGTTTTCATCATAATAATAATAGTAATAATAATAATAATAAATGTTTTTTGAGCAGCACATCAGAATATCAGAATGATTTCTGAAGGATCATGTGACTGGAGTAATGATGCTAAAAATTCAGCTTTGAAATCACAATAAATTACATTTTAAAATATAATCAAATAGAAAACAGTTATTTTAAATAGTAAAAATATTTCACAATATTACTGCTGATGCTGTATTTTGGATCAAATAAATGCAGACTTGGTGAGCAGAAGAGAACTGGACTGGTAGTAATCTCAGGCTTGTTAATTATTCCTGAATTCTCACTCCAGGCTGAACTCAAAAGTTGTCAGCGCTGTTTGAAGTAACTGAAGTTTGAGGTTTCCTGAACTACATTTACAAACTTCACTGTAGCCTACAAGTTAATGTTAGATCTTCTGCTCCAACCACTGCTTAATGAGATGATAGAAGTAAGAGAAATACGTTTCTAACATGTGAAGTTATAGTATGTCTAGCTAATGTGGGCTAATGTGAAGTAATCGCATGAAGTAAACTCAGTTCCTCCACTGCTCTAGACACAAGTGTGTGAAGCTCTTCTGATGAATGACTGCCACTGATTCACCTTTAGTGCAGAACTGCAGGAATTATTTCTCACCAAACCCATTTCACAAACACTCCCTGTCTGTGTGTGTGTGTGTGTGTGTGTGTGTGTCTGTGTTTTCTAGTGTGGATCATGGAGGAGAGTTCAGGATCACAGCAGGACCTCAAAGATGTAAGTCCTCAATCAGACAGAGTTTTCTTGTTTGTAGTTTAGTTGTAAATGTGTGTGTTGTAATGTGTGTGTTGTGTTCAGACGCCTGTGATCTCACACTGGATCCAAACACAGCAAACAAACACCTCGTTCTGTCTGAGGAGAACAGAAAGGTGACGTATGTCTCTGAGCGACAGTCATATCCTGATCATCCGGACAGATTTGATTGGGATCAGGTTCTGTGTTCAGAGAGTCTGACTGGACGCTGTTACTGGGAGACTGAATGGAGTGGAGATAATGTTTATATATCAGTGGCTTATAAAGAAATCAAGAGGAAAGGAGGGAGTTATGACTCTGTGTTTGGATATAATGTGAACTCCTGGAGTCTGATCTGCTCTGATAACAGATTCACTGTCCGTCACAATGATAAGAGAACTGAGATCTCTGCACACACTGATAAATGTGTAAAATAAAATGTCATATTTACACTTGTCATATTTCTCAGACTCTATTTTTTAGGAGTTCATGCAGTTTTAGTGTAATAGAAAACCCCTAATCAATACATTATTATTAAACACTCTTTAAACTATTGATTTCCATTTTTGGGATGTGATATGTAATGAGAAAATGAAGAAAAGTGAGTTCAGCAAAAGATGGATTGGAAGCCTAGTGGACTGCATCTTCTGCTCCATCACGAGCCTCGCTGCAGACTGTTCCACACGCTCCGACTCTTTCTTTTCTACTGTTCCTCACGCTCCGACTCTTTCTTTTCTACTGTTCCTCAGGCTCCGACGCTTTCTTTTCTACTGTTCCACACGCTCCGACTCTTTCTTTTCTACTGTTCCTCGCGCTCCGACGCTTTCTTTTCTACTGTTCCTCGCGCTCCGACTCTTTCTTTTCTACTGTTCCTCACGCTCCGACTCTTTCTTTTCTACTGTTCCTCAGGCTCCGACGCTTTCTTTTCTACTGTTCCTCCCGCTCCGACTCTTTCTTTTCTACTCTTTCTTTTCTACTGTTCCTCACGCTCCGACTCTTTCTTTTCTACTGTTCCACACGCTCCAACTCTTTCTTTTCTACTTTTTCTCAAAACAACAACTGTTTTCTCCTATTTTAATGAGCTTATTTTCTTTTTTCTTGTAGTTTAATGAGTTTATTCTCAGCATATTATGTTGACTATTTTCTCGAAATTTAATTATCGTATTATAATGATTTTAATCTCGAGATGGTTTTATTTTTTATTGTTGCTTGGCCCTAATCCTCTTCCGAACACTTGGTACTTGAAATGTAACTTTTGTTTCCCCAGGAAATATTTATACAATATTTTTGAGCTATTTATCCTTTAAAATTAAGCTCGTTAGCTCCTTTATTTTTGGGTCACACTTGATATTTAATTTTTTTTTCTTTTTTTTACAGGAAAATCAACGTAATATATTTTTGTTCAATAATTTTATTTGCTTAATATTTAAAGTTTTGACAAGATTTTATGATACTTTGCAATATTTATACAATATTTTTGAGCTATTTATCCTTTAAAATTAAGCTCGTTAGCTCCTTTATTTTTGGATCACAATTGATATTTAATTTTTTTCTTTTTATTTTTTTTGCAAGAAAATCAATGTAATATATTTTTGTTCAATAATATTTTTTGTTTAATATTTAAAGTTTTGACAAGATTTATGATACTTTGCAATATTTATACAATATTTTTGACCTATTTACCCTTTAAAATTAAGCTCGTTAGCTCCTTTATTTTTGGATCACAATTGATATTTAATTTATTTGTTATTTTTATTTTTTTTGCAAGAAAATCAATGTAATATATTTTTGTTCAATAATATTTTTTGTTTAATATTTAAAGTTTTGGCGAGATTTTATGATACTTTGCAATATTTATACAATATTTTTGAGCTATTTATCCTTTAAAATTTAGCTCGTTAGCTCCTTTATTTTTGAGTCACACTTGAAATAACTATTTTTTTTCTTTTTTTTTTTCCTAGGAAAATCAACGTCATAAATTGTTGTTCAATAATATTTTCTGTTAAATATTTAGAATTATTAAAAGATTTTATGATACTATGCAATATTTATAAAATTTTTATGAGCTATTTTCCCTTTAAAATTAAGCTCGTTAGCTCCTTTATTTTTGGGTCACACTTGATATTTAATTAATTCATTTTTTTTTCTGGGAAAATCAATGTAATATATTTTTGTTCAATAATTTTTTTTTGTTTAATATTTAAAGTTTTGGCGAGATTTTATGATACTTTGCAATATGTATACAATATTTTTGAGCTATTTTCCCTTTCAAATTAAGCTTGTTAGCTCCTTTATTTTTGGGTCACACTTGATATTTAATTTATTTTTTCTTTTTCTTTTTTTTGCAAGAAAATCAATGTAATATATTTTTGTTCAATAATATTTTTTGTTTAATATTTAAAGTTTTGACGAGATTTTATGATACTATGCAATATTTTTACAATATTTTTGAGCTATTTATCCTTTAAAATTAAGCTCGTTAGCTCCTTTATTTTTGGGTCACACTTGATATTTAATTTTTTTTTCTTTTTTTTTTTCTTTTTTTACAGGAAAATCAACGTAATATATTTTTGTTCAATAATATTTTTTGTTTAATATTTAAAGTTTTGGCGAGATTTTATAATATTTTGCAAAATTTATACAATATTTTTGAGCTATGTATCCTTTAAAATTAAGCTCGTTAGCTCCTTTATTTTTGGGTCACAATTGATATTTAATTTATTTTTCTAGGAAAATCAACGTAATATATTTTTGTTCAATTATTTTTGTTTAATATTTAAAGTTTTGACAAGATTTATGATACTTTGCAATATTTATACAATATTTTTGACCTATTTACCCTTTAAAATTAAGCTCGTTAGCTCCTTTATTTTTGGGTCACACTTGAGATTTAATTTATTTTTTCTTTTTCTTTTTTTTGCAAGAAAATCAATGTAATATATCTTTGTTCAATAATATTTTTTGTTTAATATTTAAAGTTTTGGCGAGATTTTATGATACTTTGCAATATTTATACAATATTTTTGAGCTATTTTTCCTTTAAAATTAAGCTCGTTAGCTCCTTTATTTTTGGTTCACACTTGATATTTAATTTATTTTTTCTTTTTCTTTTTTTTGCAAGAAAATCAATGTAATATATTTTTGTTCAATAATATTTTTTGTTTAATATTTAAAGTTTTGACGAGATCTTAGAGTGTGCGTACGCTAAAATCCACGGCAACGTTCATATTTATAAAAACGGTCTTTGACGTGGAAAAGTACTTACCGTCACGTCAGGGTCGATTAATGCAGTGTAGTCAGATTTTTTATTAACGGGAGGTTTTGCGAGAAAAAACGGACCTTTAGTAGCCTAATGTTGAGAGTTCTTTACTTGCTTTCTGTACACAGTTTATTAATTATTATTAATAATTATTTATTCCATTATTATTTTATTTTACAAGAGAACTTGCGAAGTCTTGATTTACTACTAATGCGTAAAATAGAAAAAATAAAATGCATAAACGCATCTCTGACGGTTTTGTCTGTGTAGCCTATAAGAACAGGCCGATGTCGTGCAATAACGGTTTTAATATATTCTATTCTATTCAATAACATTGTTAACTGTTTTTATTTATAACATCTGCTGCTTTGCTTCTGTGAAAATTAATAGAGACATCAGCCTTACACTTAGTTTTTGTCATTTACATCAGTTATATTTGTATACACTATATATTTTTGTGTCAGTACATTAATGGCACATTTGAGATGATATGAAACGTCCACTTTTTATTTCAATAATGTTTTCTAAAATTTTGCAGGAATTTCGTGATACTAAACTTTTTATTAGTTGTCATAGAAAGTGATTTTAAAAGTAGGATGGCTCACTTTTTATAAGATGACTGAACATTTTACTTGAATTCGTACTTTATTCTTACTTTTGGAAACCTAATTGTTTTATAATTACTACTACTACTATTATTATTATTATTATTGTTATTTCTGTTGTTTCTAGAAGTAGTAGGCTAATTTTGATAATACTCAATAGAAAAAATATAACTACACACACATCGTATTACACATTATTAAATAAAAAGCATCCCGCACGAACCTCTGCCTCCGCCAGCAGGACCTCAGTTTCAGACTCGGTAACGTTTATTTTTTCTTTGTGCTCGTCGTTCTCAAGCATAGACATTAAAGATACTGGCGTGTGCTCTTTTATATGGTAATGTTATTAATTAGGGGGCGGAGATCTGACACCAATCAGCTGCGCACGATTTCAAGATCATTTGCGATTTATAAATGTCACATCTGGAAGAGAGGCGTACGCATGTTCGTTTTCATCGCACTTACGCACTTTTGAGAAATGATCTTAGAACAAATTTAGGACGGTTTATACGCAACATTTTATAAATGAGGCCTCAGGTGTCCCCAGAATGTGTGTGTGAAGTTTCAGCTCAAAATACCCCACAGATCATTTATTAGATCAATTTGAAAATGCCTATTTTGAGTGGAAGCAGAAACACTCAACACTGTTTTTCGGGCCTGTCTCTTTAAATGCAAATGAGCTGCTGCTTCTTTTTTTTTCTTGTCAAGATGGTGCTGTGAATGGCTTCCTTGGTTTGGAGCTCTTCAGTACTTTTACTGTTTTTGCTTGTTTGTCTCGTAAAAAAAGGTAACTTTTTCCCAATTAGTTTTATTAGAGACAAACTCCTAGCCATCAGACACATACAACCTTTGGCTGACTTTTGAGCATTCTGACTTTTTACTAGATATTCCAGTCGGAGGAGCTATGATCCTGTCTGGAGAAGTTGATGCTGAAGTCAAGAGTCAGTCTGCAGATTTGAGTCGACTGATTAGAATCACGTAGTGTATGAATGTCACAGACTCTGATTGTTTAGCTTCAGACTTTGGTTCCTTCCAGTCGGAGGAGATCAAACATGTCTGATATTTTCAGACGATTTTAGAACACACATTGTTTTCATTTGTCAAGCGTCTCCTAGCAACAAGACACATTTCTGAATGAGTTTGTTGTGATTGGAACGACTTGAAGTTCTGGTAATGTATGATCTTCAGTCGTCTGGTGTATGATGGCCAGTCTTCCTCTGTCACTATTTACAAAGTCGGTAAGTGTGTGATGCCTAGCGTTTTAAAAATCTGTTCAGATTTTAAAAGTTGTGTAGTGTATTCCAGCCTTTATACACACAAACAAAGACTTCTCAAACTCTGCTGCTCTTTGCTAGCAAATGCTGGTTAGGTATGTTTTGAAGCATGGCTGCTGGTTTGAGCTGGTCCTGAGCAGGAGCTAGTTGCTTAGGACCAGCACATGACCAGCTCATAACCAGCTTAAACCAGCTCAAACCAGCAGCCATGTTTCAAAACATACCTAACCAGCATGTGCTGTTAGCAGCCATGCTTCAAAACATACCCAACCAGCATATGCTGTTTTTTTTGTTCAACA